TTGTCGAAGCTGCCCTCCCAGAAAGTTCTGGAATTGGATTCCTTTTCTCTTCCGTCGACAGTATTGCTAGAATTATTACTCGATTATCATTTGGCATTTCCTTGTGACTCTGCGTTAGAAAGCCCCCCACGATTGTGTTTTTCTCTGTCTCTAGGCGGATCCATCTTTTTATTTGTAAACAGTGGGAGGTTTTGTGATGCACTTCATTGACACTAAAACGCATCAATGTATGCTTTTTGATCCCGTTTGAAACCGAACGGTTTCATAATTGCTTTTATAATGATAAAACACCTTTATGGAGAATTTTGTCATGACATCAATAAAACAAATAAAAATTGATTTACTGAACAGTTTTATAAAGGGATAGAGTGCTGTATAAATTCAGCGATCGGCTAAATTTTCAATAGCGACCAAAAGTATCCATTAGTACCGTGCCAATGACGCGTTCATCTAGATAAAATTGATAAACAGCAGATTTTCAGCGATGGGCCCAATCTTAGATCCATAGGCCAACATTAAATCCATTTCCCCTATCTTGCGAAAAAGTTGAGACAGATGCGCAGGGATGGAAAATGGATGGTTGTGATAGAAATAAAAATTTTGATGTTTTTCGTTTTTTTGAATGGGGATGACGATTGATCCGATTTGAATGGGGATGACTTTGGTCCCCTCGATTGGTTTCTCTTCAGAGTTTTCCTTGGCCTCCGGAGTTAACACTTCCATTTCCACTGGTATCTTCTTCAAGCACCTCTACCTCTTCCTCCGTTACCTTGCCGTTATTATTCAACGATGGACCTTCTGTCACCATATCAGCGTACGTACTGCTTTTCATCCTGTGACTTGTGCGATTTGCTCTTAATCCTGTTCTTTTTGCCTTTTTCGGCTGCATCCTGATATTCCGCTATTCATTCGGTGCCCCTCGGATTTGCACAAGAAACGCTTGTTTTTTATCCCGTCGTAGAAACATTCCCTTTCCATTTGAGGAAAGGAATCTGGATTTAAATTCCTTTTCAACTTCCATATAAACACCTCGCACACCTGTGTGTATGTTAAGACTAAGCTCAGTAGTTCCCCTAGGCTCAACCCAGTAGTTTCCCTAGTACCAACGCAAGATCGCCGTCCAGGAGCTCTGGAGGTAAGTTTTCTTGTGGTGGTAATTTATTTCTTTATTTGGAGGGATAAGCCTACACAAGTGGGTGCAAAACCTCATCATTTCAGTATTTCCATTCCATTTCAGTATTTCTATTCTATTTCATGGAATTCTACAGATAGATTTTCTTAAGCTAAGTCCTAAACATATAAGACAAGATTAATGATAACTGAATTAACTTAATGTTTACACAGATAACAGAACGCACCAGCAAGCTAAAACTACATTACAAAACAGAGTTTTAAGGCTAACACGGGAGATATTAAATTCAAAGCAGCTATAACTTTCGTTAAAAATCTTGCACATGCTAGTTAACGGCCCATTTGCACCGTAGTTTGTGCGAGCAGCCGGGATGTTGAAAAAACAATAAGAACGTAAATTTACCCTTCTGATATTGACATTCAACTGCTGTAGAAGTGAACCGCGATCAATGTCCGATCGTAGGAGATCAGCGATGACGGTAGCCTTAGAGACGCCACGGCGTACATTAAGTAGTTGTAGGGACATCAAAGTATACCAAAGACCTTAATGTGTTTTAAGATTTCCATAAAGTCCTTTGGATACTTTTTCAAGACTTTGTGGGTAGTGATCAGAGATCTCCAAAAACTTCTCATGATATTTTTTCAAGTCTTCGAATTTATGAAATATTATGCTGAAGGTCTTCAAATGTCCACCAAAATCACGTCTATCATATATTCGCCCACTACAGGGTGCGTGACGAATTTTTGCAGTAAATTTCAAATAGTAATTTCTCATGCTTGTGCATCATGATTTAGATATATTTGGCAGCACTGGATAGCTTATACTGTTAGGTGTAAGATTTAAACAAACAATGTTGAGTAAACGTAAAGATGTCGAAACAAGAGAGCAATCTGTCAGCCGTTGTCGCTTTGTTGCGCGCCGGAGTATGCATGAAAGAAATAATTCGGTCGGTAAATGTGTCTGAAAGAACAGTCTATAATATTAAAAAAGGCTTGGGAAAGTGATAGGACGGAGCACCTGCTCATATTGCTAATAAAGCACAGAAATGGCTTACGGAAAATATTTCGTAAATTTGGGAGGAAGAAATTTGGCCCCAAGCAGTCCCGGTATCAATCCATTGGATTATTTTGTATAGGGCTTCGTCCAACGGGATACCAATAGAACCCCTCACACCACACTTAAGTCGCTAAAAGCTAAAATCAAGGCAGTGATGACATCTATGGATCGAAACATTTTAAAACGTGCATACTGCAGTTTCCGGAAGCGTCTAACTACAGTCGTCGAAAGGGAAGGCAATTTTTTTGAATAAATTTACTTACAACTTCCATATGTTGCGAAAAAAAATAAATCGCACAAAATTCATTGCTAGAATAACTAACTGGTGTATTTTTTCTCAAATATTCCATTTACTGCAAAAATTCGTCACGCACCCTGTATATCAGCTTGCCCACAAAATGATTCAAAGACCATCAGGTCATCATCGATCTACATAAATAAGCACAATCTAAATCGCATCCCTAAGATATTTTCTCATATGATACCATGCGACTCAGAAACTATTTCACAGCCCTTCATGTGATCAGAGATCTTCATAAAGTAAAGACTGGAACGAGCAAAAATTGGTCGACAAAAAAATCGTTTCTTTCAGTCAATATTCATATCCCAAAAATCTTCTTATTTTTCTTTTGGTAGTTCAATTCATTTATTTAAAGGGAAAAATGTTCGTTTATTCTTTTGGTTTGCCAAATTCGAACTGCCGTTCCTTCCGCTTAGCCCAGTCCATTAAAGTTTGCACAGTGGTCTCATCGACCTTATTTGCCGCCGAACGCCAGTTAGATTTAAACTACTGCTCGTTTTCCATGGATTTATTAGTTTATTTTTAGATACCGTTTGACCAAGGCCCAATACCGTTCGATAGGGCGGAGTTCTGGGCTGTTGGGAGGGTTGTGGTCTTTGGGTACCACAACCACGTTGTTCGCACCGTACCACTCGATTGCCTTTTTTCCCATAGTGGCAGCTCGCCAAGTCCGGCAAGAACAGCACAGGTCTATTATGTTGCTTTAGGAATGGTAGCAGCCGCTTTTCCAGGCACTCCTAGACCTAGATCTCTTGATTGATGGTTCTTGTAGTAATGAAAATGCCGCTTTTTAGACCACACGTGCATATGGCCTGGCAGACGAGATATTTTTTCGGGAACTTCGATAGTTTAATGGTTTTGAAAATTTCAACCTTCCCTTTTCCTGATGCGGTATAAAATTCCTGTCCTGGAATCTGCGTGAAATCCGCCTTCACATATGTAAGTTTCGTCGTCCATGACGACGCAGTCCAATTTTGTAAGCAGATTCGTATACAGCTTTGTTTGTAATCTCGGTTCGCCACCTTCACCTTCCTGAACGTCAACAACCCGGCTCATTTCTTGGCCCACTGCACAGCAGTATGGGAGACATTGAGCTTGCCAGCGACGTCCCGGATGAAGAGGTTAGGATTCCGCTTATATTTCACCGCCACCTTCTTCGTCGTCGCTGCCACATCCAGCTCTCTCAAAATTTTGACACGCTGCTCCTTGGACGTCATTTTGAAAACTGGAGAGCAAACGGTGAAAACTCATCATTGCAACTATTGTATATACACTCAACTTCCAAATGCAGCATTTCAGGTTTTTTATGCATTGTAACATAAATACACCAATTTGAATTTGACCAATTTTTGCGCGTTCCAGACTTTAATCAGGATATTTTTCCAAGTCTTCAAGTTGTGTAGGTACTATTCTGAAGACATTTGGTTGATCAGGTACTATTCTGAAGATCCCAAACTGTCCAACAATTCAAGTAATAATTCTAATTTTTCCAAGGATTTTTAGGTGGTCAGAGATCTTCAAAAACTACTCTGGATATTGTTTCAATACTTCTGGTGGATGAATTATTCTGAAGATCTTTTACTGCCAAATAATTCAAATTACGTATTTCAGATATTCTCTCATAATACCCGATTGTTCAATTTTTTCCATCCGGTTCATATTTGTGCTAAAATCATCGAAGCAAACCGCTCTGATCGCATTGCAGTTTCATTTCTGACAGTTTCAAATATTAGACCCGTCGTGTATTTTGAAACAATTTTGAAACTCAGCATTGCGAACGGATCAATAAAAAGATTGTCCAGAGACATTTTCGAGCAGAATTATTAATGGATCACATCATTCGAGCAGTTTAAAATGACGTTTCCTGCCGCTCGAATTTTACCATGGAACAATATGCTGATATTTTGTCCTTTTTTTGCAAGTAATATTACACCATATTTTCGACACGATTGAAGTGCCTCCACTTTGATGTGATATTAAAATTATTTTTTTGCTGTGTAGAACCTCGATAAAATAGGGTCTAGAAAAATCTGGAATTTATTGTTTCATTTTCTTAAAATCGCTCCTAAAACTGCTCGACAAAATGTTATTATATTTGATAAAAAAAATAACCCTGGTTTGGATTCTGTCTTGGCACAGTGATTCGAAAACTATTGTGACCTCACAGTAAAAAATTCTAATATCACTTCAAATTGGATCCACTTCAATCGTGTTGAAAATATGGTGCCGAAAAGGGCAAAATTATCATTAATGCAGTGCATTAACTGGCATTACGCTGCTTTTACTGCATTTGTTTATGTGTGTTGCCATAAACATTACATGAGATTTTAAACATGATTGAAGTGCATCCTCTTGGATGTAATATTGAAATTAATTACTGCCACCAAAAAATATCGAACTCCTATGATGTTGTTACGACATTTTTCCCGCATATTTCTTCCCATCCCTGTAGATTAATTTAAATTGGTGTAGCAGTTAAAATTAATTATCATTCATTTTTCCCCTCCACAGGAACTGGCGGCCCCTCGATGGTCCACGAAGGCGAAGACGCACTGCTGACCTGTGTCGTAATGACCCCCTACAACAACGATACCGTCCTGTGGCGGAAAGGACCGAATGAAATCCTGTCGGCGGGCATGAATCGCGTTACGAGCGATAAACGCATCAGCATTCTACACGACGACTGTAAGTACCCACCTACCTAATGTCCAACAACAAAGCGCATCCTATAATGTCTGCTCCGGTTATTCATTTGATACCTTGCGCTATGAATGGCGTCGTCGGGTGCTTATTTGTAATGGGTCGAAGGTTTCCACGGGAAGACACCCCTGCCCCACATGGAAATGGTTCCAAATAAATGAGAAGGAAAAAAACATTGAAAGCATTTTTGTCGCTCATTTGGCGCGACGACAATTTTGGCTCCCTCAGCTCGTAGCAATAATCGTTTCTCATTAACTCTCACGCTGGAATGGAGTTGGGTTGCCTCAGTGCTGATAGCATGGGATAAAGGTGATCCAAACTGCGGCCAAAATTCCATACGACAAGAGATGATACCCCCGTGGGAAATGGAGCAGATCATGATCATCGCACACGATACGAGTATAGGGTTTGCCTTGTACGCTTCGGGTATTAACACTTGCCGTAATGGACCCTGGTAGGCATAGCACGAAATTCTTCGAACAGTGAGACTATATCAGTGGGAGTATTCCACCAAAAAACTTCTGGCGACTTGCACACTGTTTCTACCCTCAGGCCAAGCATAGAAGCGGTTTATATGTCGCCCCAGTTTTACTCGGAATACACATAAAAAGGTGTTATCAATAACTCCTCTGCAATTTAATTAAGAGACAGCTAGAAGGCGCCAGCAACATCATCACAGCAACGTGACACCAAACAGAGCGTATTCCGGCAAACTTACACACATTTTGTCGGTTAATCCGGGTGGACGGTTTTTCACGTGCTCCGTTTTCAGGACAAATATTTTCGTCACATCATTAAAGCTCGCTTAGGAATGCTTGCCAAAATTAAACGGGTACACATCGTCGACTCCGGTAACGACAACCAACGACGAGGTGAGAATTGCTCGAGACAAATACGCCAAGAGTTATGTTATTTGCTCATTACCTATCCCGTGGCTTTCGCTGTAAACGAGGACAAGCAATGAATCGCGAACTTTTTGGGAGAAAATAAATACGTTCCTCACCGGAGGCGGTGTAGGTACGGTTGTGGAAAAGGTTCCACTAAATTTTACGGATTACAATTGAGGGACTACACGTTCTTGGAAATACTTTTCCCGGGTCGTTGGTTTGCCAGTTGATAGGAACAGTATAAGGATAACCGAACGAACGAACGAACGTAATGAGCGCTGCTCCCCTACAACTGTGAGCACAGACAGGGCGTCGTGTTGCCGAAAGCGTTTGGAAGGGATTTAATTAAAAAGATTCAAGTTACTACTGCTGCTTTATATGGTGCGGAGTCTACGCGGGTTATGGCAAATATTTGAGAGAGCCTGTTCATCTCTAATTTCGAATCCAATTAAGGTAACGTCCAAAACATAAATTGTTGCTCCCCCTCTGACAATGAGATAATTATTCATCGTGGTATTTATGCTCATTGGATACGAGGTATAAAATAGCATTAGAATTTCAAACCACCTTATTTCGAGAATTTCAGATACTGGAGCCTTTGGAGTAGTATTGCAGCATTTGATTGATGGATTTATGGGGATTTTTATATTATTATCGGACAGGTTTGGCCGAAGGGTCTCAGAATGTTATAAAATTTTACCCACAGATAAATGATTGTATGAAAGAAAAAAATCCCAAAAATCAGGATCGAATATTTTCGCCAGAAGTTGATGGATTTTCCCGGACATCAAGAACTTTGAAAATTCATAACTCATTACGTAAAAAAGGTAAGAGACGACACCCTAAAATTTTCACCAGTGAGAGATAAGAAGTTTGCAAGAATGCAAAAGACCAATAGGAAAATTTGCATTACCCTGGCAATTGTTTTTCCTGATTTTCCATGCGATTTTTCTAAGCCGGGATTTTTTTTGAGGATTTGGGATTATCATTTCGCCGCACAGAAAAAAATATTTTTAAATTTTTAACTTCAAACTGGAGCTGGTTTTAGAACATAACATTACAGAATATATAAAATCCCACAAATTACGATCAATCTTCAATGATTTCCAACTGAAATATACATATTCATATAAATTTATATCACTGTTCGTTGAACATTCAACTAATTTCAATTAAACTTTTCACTGTTTTGTAAAAAAAAAATACACTTCCACGAAAAATTAAACTTGTATCAACCAAAGCCACAATAAAATCAATGAGCCAAATTCAAATTTACAACAAATTTGCTATGTACATAACGTTCTTTCAGCAATGCTTGGTTCATGAGTTATGAATTTTTAAAGCACGTGATTTTAGATTAAAAGAGAAAATTTTCTGAGAAAATTGACAATCCCGATTTTTTTCTGTGCGAAAAATTTCATAAAATTCTGAGACCCTTCGGCCCATTTTTCACGATAAAAAACCCTTATATAAGAGTCATTCCCGTAGAAGTGTACCTGAGCTCAATTTCATCCAAACTTTACCAAAAATACTTTTTTTTTTTAACTCTACGAAATTCTCTTGTTCGATTTTGTTCTATAAAAGCAATTCTCATACTTCCATGGTTTGATACCCACTTGAATAAATTTCATAAACTTATGACCAACAATTGAGAGGCAACTTGTGAGCCCCATCCTGATTTCGTTCGCTTTCACTTTACTTCGAATTTCTTCGTAGAACACAGAGCCAAGTGAAAATAACTGCTGAATTCAACTTTGTTAATTCCGAGTGTAGTAGTGTCGATGATTACTCAGAAATTCTATCTGAGTGAGTTTTTGTAGAAAAAAATACTTATTTACGTTTAAGCTTTAAACATAATTTCCATATTTAAGCTGATATTTGTGTGGAAAAAGTATTATTTTGTATCAGATGTCAAAAAAAAAAGTGTCACCCAAGCAAACAACAGCTGCTGTAATTATACTAACTGATTATATCACTGAGCGACAAGCAACTCACTCGTTGCTTCTAAACCCCAACCATTCGGTTATTGCGCTTCCATTCGGATTTGCACTCGGAAGAGAAATTTGATCGGAACTCTTTCAGTTTCTCGCCTGTTTCGTACTGCTGTTATAATCACTAATTCACTTCTAGTAATGTAGATGAAAACGGTTGCGCACGGTTGATGACTAACTGAAACCAAAATTCTCGCGGAACTTTTCAAAAGGCGCTAAGTAACATACATATGTGAACAAATCGTGTTAATCGATACAAACTATTGCTCTTCTATCATTATGTGTGAGCATGAGCAGGAGCATGATTGACCGCCTGTGGATGCTACTCTGTTATTGCGAGATCAGCTGTAATTACACAGAGAACCAATAGACGGTGCTGGGGACTAGTATTCATCCTCAATATGTAAAAACTGGTGATCTCAAACTAGGCAATACCAGCGCGCTGTAGCACCGGCCGCGCCCGACCGCAGGTCAAAAAAGGAAAGGTTAGGAATGTGTTGGTGTGATACCCGCTATGCTGAAAGCCAAGAAGTCATCTGCACTTCCACGAAGAATCACTGGGATGTTGTATAAAAGGATTGGGTTTGCAGCATGCTTCGTTTTCATAAACGATAAGCTGAATTGATATTCTAACGATCCTATAACGCGAAGGGGCTTGGGATTGATCCCACGGTTTTCTGCTCAGTAATCAAAAACGTTTACCACTAGGCAAAAGAGATCCTTTTATTACAACACACCAATGATCGATTTGTTGTTATTCCAATTTATTCACATTAACAAATAAAGCAATTAACGAATCTTGAATGTCGAGGGACTTGAGATTAAACTCATGATGTTCTACTAAGTAGGCAAAAATTGTCGCTCTAAGGCCACCAAGCCCCTCATATCACATCATACAAGCTACGATCGCGTTGTTATGGCAACCATTCATAACCGACCCCAACGGTGACGTTGATGACGATGTTAAGTTTCACAAAACACAAGATAATCAAGCGATGTTACTATAAGTCTGCTTAATATGATAGGACCTGGGATTTATTCAAACCCAAACTCGACAACGAAGCCCTGTACACAAGAATACGCCTGTACGGCCGATGATCTTTTAAACCAGGACACAAAACATCTACGAAAAAGCTCTTATGCCTTAATTGAATTCCACTTTTACGCGACGTTCGTTGTTTCGATTTGGTCCTTACGTAAGACGGGAACATAATCCATAAAACTTTCACATTTTTGGGCTACCGTGCTTCTTACTTCACAAAGTAAACTACGACTGACACGACGATTTTACCAGCGTACAAATATTGCACATCTTTTAAGCTATCTAGACCAATCTCTATTGCGTTTAAAAACGACTGTTTTCTCCTTCATATTTCACCAATTATGCCTCAAACTACCGCATCAAAACCACCAAACCATACAATCAAACACGACCCACCGAGACTACCGTCAGTCTTCAACCACGGCTCTCATGATCGTGTTAAGGACACACCTAACAACACATCAAAACTAATCGGTCAAGTGCCAAGCTTGTATGTTTGATCGCGATATTTATTTTCTAATGAACTATGCTTCAACATAAAAAAATCATAATGCATTATTCGTAGGCACCTAACCGTAAAAACCGAGGAAGGAAGCATATGCAATCGAGGTCATACCTCTGGCAAATGGGAAATGCTGAAAATAAATCTCGATAACTTCCCCGAACTAAAGCATCTGCTCCCGAAAACAATGCATCCGACCCTCAATCCAGCGGAACCGGCATCCCGCCCACGCATACAAACACCACCATCATACAACAATGATAGGGGAAATTTTCTGTGCACAGAAGCAATGCACATCGCAAAAACCTAACAATAGATCAGTCGAGTCACAATAAAATAAAAGCTGGCAGCGTAGCAAAACCACAACCGTTCTTGGACGATTCTCAGAGTGAACTCCGCTCTTCTATCATTGTGTGTGATACAAAAACACACATCCAAATTAACTTTCATTTATTTAGGATAATCATAGGTCAAAAATTGTCCAATGTACAGTTTGGAATGATGGATATGTGATTGTTACTCCGGACGTTTGGTCTGCCTAACACGATTGGTGCTTATTTTCT